CACCCGGGGGAACTGTGTTCCCCCGCGTTCCCCCCCGAAATGACCTCTGAATTCAAACCAGTCCTTCAAATGATACTCCAAGGCTCCTCACAGTTGGGACATTTTCTGTGCTGTGAAATTAATCTCAACAATCCATACAGAAGTAGTAGCAACAAGCATAACCCACTCCAATTAGCAACTTACATCAATAGCATTCATTCAAGACTGAAATCTCCAACGTGTTATCTTAATTAGTCGGCATCCGCTCCCATTCATTCAAAGTGGTGAAGTCCTGAAAGTCTCCCCAGTGAAACAACACAGCTCCATCAGTTGTGAGATTTTTCTGAGGATTCTTTCCAGGATTTATGCAGCCTCCCTACTTTGGAGTATCATTTGAAAGAGTGGTTTGATGTTCATATTTGAACATTTGTATACGATTATGGTATTTATATCATTATGACTGTATTAAGCATGATTAAATTAAGCAAGGAAGGTTGATTTAGTATTGGAAAGTATATTAGTCAACTGATCACGGTAACTTTTGTTCTATTTATAGATAGCCATTCATTTCCGTGATCCAGTCTTTTCCAGGGGCCTGGAGGTTTGCAACCCTACATGCAAGAGTGTTGCGTTACATAGGTTCTGGTTTTTAAACCCCTCCCTGGCTGCGCACACCACCCTAAGAGCATCGCCTGCGGTTTCTACGCAGCTATGCATTGCTCTGTAGCTAGTTCCCGCCTCCTTTATCTCAGACAACTAATGAGGGAATTAGCAGGGCCCGCCCGTCTCTTGGCGCTCAGAATTTGCCAAAAGAAAAAAAAAACCAATAGTATACTAAGAGTTCAGCCAGAGTCGTAATTACAATTCCGGTTCCTACCGCTCTTTCCCACCATGGAGTCGTCAAGGCCTTGTAGTACCTCCCATAGACTACCACGGTCAATGACGGTTTTTCCATTTTTGCCGGAAGTTTAGGCGGTGCGTTGTTTCACTTTATCTCTTGAAGGCAAAAGCAGGGGAGCAGCTCCGGAACCCGTCTTTGACGTCATAGGTGCGCGCCGGAAGTTGTTCCCGGGGTGGTTGTGAGGCGGCTGGCCTCCGAAGGGTTTCTGCTATGGCGACTCCTGCTATTCCTCCGCCGGGAGGGCCCCCCGGGATACCCGGGGGGAAACCTGGACAAGGACCCGCAGCCGTCGGGGGAGGCGCGAAGAGCGGGGAGGAGCGGCTGAAGGAGATGGAGGCCGAGATGGCGCTGTAAGGAATTCCTGCAGGGAGACCCCCTTGAGCGTAGCAAACTCCACTTGTCACCTGCTCAGAGGACAAATGGGGAGTTGCTAGTCCTAAACTGAGGGGAAAGGGAGCTCAATAAGATGTCGAGGGAGGCTGGGCTGGGCAACAAAGTGTGGATTCAAGGGAAGTGGAGCTGTGTTGGGACGTGTGAACCAAAAGCCCAGTGACACCTTAAGGGCTGACAGTATCCGTTTCGATATGAGCTTTCACGAATCAAGTTTCATGGAGTGGCCGTGTTGGACTGCAGTAGAACAACGAGTCCAGCAGCACCTTCAGAGACCCAAGATTTTTGAGGCATGAGCTTTTGAGAGTCACAGTTTCCTCCTTCATATACGTATCTGATGAAGGGAGCTGGCTCTGAAAGCTAGTACTCCCCAGATCTTGTTGGTCTCCAAGGTGCTGCTGGACTCGGATCTAGCAAAAGCAGAAGAGAAGAGATTTGATTTATACCCCGCCCTTCACTACACAAAGGAGTCAGAGGACCTTACAGTTTCCTTCCCCTCCCCACGACAGACACCCTGTGAGGTAGGTGGGGCTGAGAGAGCTCTTTCAAGGACTGCTCTTGACAGAACAGCTCTGAAAGAACTTGTTACACCGGCAGCTGCATGTGGAGGAGTGGGGAATCAAACTTGGTTCTCCCAGATTAGAGTCCATGCAACCAACCACTACACCAAACTGGCTCTCAAAAATAGACAGGTTTCATATACCCCCCTCCCCCAGCATGGGGGCTTAAACTGGCTTGGTAGGGACATCTTTGACCAGGGAAATTGGTCTCTAAGGTGCTTCTGGACTTGAATCTAGTTGTTCATGAGTCAGGTGCACTTCTTCATACAGCTGTGTAATCTCTTGGTGCAAGTTCCCCATGATATATCTGTGTAAGGAAGTGAGTTCAGTTTGTGAAAATTCATATTGAAACAAATGTTTTTAGTCCTTAACAGACCACCACACTCCTGTTTTATTTTGCTATAGCATACTCAGGGCCGGCCCGAGGTTGTCCTGTGCTCTAGGCGAGTGCAGATGCCAACCTCCCGGCGGGGCATGGAGACCATCTGGCGCACTTTCGCTTTCCACCCTGCTCTGGTTGCCCGCCCCAGAGAGTCGCACGGGAAGGGGGAAGCTCGCCAGTCTCGAGCCCTTCGCCAGGCAGGCCGGCCGACTGGAGCCCCTTGCCTCCCCCCGTCCCCCCCGGCTACCTGCGGACTCAGTGGCGGCAGAGGCAATCAGCGCCAACTGGAGGGAGGGACGAGCTGGGCAGGCTGGTACAATGAGTGCTCCATGGTGGTGGTGGTGGCGGCAGTGGCAGCAGCAGCAGCTCCTGGCTTCAGGGCTCGGCGGCTGCTCCGTAGGGACATCTTTGACCAGGGAAATTGGTCTCTAAGGTGCTTCTGGACTTGAATCTAGTTGTTCATGAGTCAGGTGCACTTCTTCATACAGCTGTGTAATCTCCTGGTGCAAGTTCCCCATGATATATCTGCCTAAAGAAGTGAGTTCAGTTTGTGAAAATTCATACTGAAACAAATGTTGTTAGTCCTTAACAGACCGCCAGACTCCTGTTTTATTTTGCTATAGCATACTAACATGATTACCCCTTTGTAGTCATTACTGAAGGATATGGAGTTGTCTTACACCGAGTTAGATACTTGGCCCATCAGGGACAGTTTTGTCCGTTCTGACTGGCCAGTGGATTTTTTAATGTTGCATACTGAGGTCTTTCGTATCACTCGCTACCTGATCCTTTTAGCTGGAGAGGCTGGGGACTGAATGCGGAGGCTGCTGCATACCAAGCAGATGCTCTCCCACCCAGCATCTCCACTTGAAAGGACCTGGGAGAGGGCGATGTGAAAGACCTGTGCCTGAGACCCTGGAGAGCTGCTGCCTTTCTGAGTAGACACTGCTGGCTCTGATGGATCAAGGTGTCGGTATCAGGCAGCTTCATGTGTGATCCCTCAAGCCACAGTTTCTCAAGATGAGGAGTTTATTTAGCCGGGCTATTGCCACTCTTCCTATCCTGGGGTGCCATGGAGCTCAAGAAGTTCACTGGGAACATCTCTACCCCATCCCACCCCCCAGTTCACATCCCACTTCCACCATAAACTCACTAGATGATGCAAGGAAGCCTTTCTCCTCTTGGTTCATCTCCCATACAAAGCAGACAACACGTTTATGAAAAGCAGGTATCTCACCATCCATCCTACTCAGAAGTTGTTTGATCACTGAAACACATGTAAATACGATAGTTATAAACCACACTGAAAATAGATAATTGAAGTAGCCGGTCAAGCCATCAGTGATGATCTGCTTTCTGAGGTGTCATATTTCAGAGCTCTGAAGTGCAACAGCGATGATATGGTGTTATTTACAGATTTGAACAAGAGGTGCTGGGCGCTCCTGTTTCCCTACCTCCCGTGACTCCTGTGGTGGAGGCTGTCCCTGTTGCCCTAGCAGTGCCAGCCGTGCCTGCGGTGTCACCGGTCCCCGTCATCCGCCCTATCATTGCCACCAACACTTACCAACAGGTGAGAATTCGAGGCATTTACTTTGCAAGCCTGGACAGCTTAGAAATCTGGTTTCAGTGGAGATTTCAAATTCTGACTTAGGCGAGGGGGTAGTCTTGGCTCTCATAGCTCTCATAGGGATGTTACATAGGGGGTGAGCTGTGACTTCTTATTCTTATACAGAAATTTTTTGTGTGTTACGGCGGGGGGTGTGGGCGCGGGGGGGGGGGGAGTGTGTGCAGGCGGACCTGCTTCTGGCCATTCATCCCGATGACCCATCCTTACTGGGATTTTTTCCTTCTTGTCCTCCAGGTCCAGCAGAGTCTGGAAGCCCGAGCAGCAGCCGCTGCCACGGTGGTGGCTCCTATTGTGGCTCCCCCAGTACCTTTTGTAGGTCCAGGTATGCTTTTGGTGGCCTTCTGTTACTTAGCTAAGCCAGTTTGTTGGTTTTCCCTCTTACCTGTACCTACCAGAATCACAGGTCTGCTCAAGGGTGGGACAGGTAGGAAGTCTGTTAATCTCTTAATGGGAAAAGGAGGATCTCTGGAAACATACACACACATCTTTACAGATTGAAGCGACCACTATTGCTTGTTTGCCCATCTTGGACTATTGCTGAGGGTACCACATCTTCAGAACTCACGGTTTATCCTGGTTGCTGTTATCCGAGGAGTAGCCTTCGTGCCAGTGTGCCATTTTTTCTAATCTGGGGTGGCATATTCTGCAGCCTTCTGCACTTGCATCGCATGCTTGTTCTGTGCACAGCATTGGTAACAGGGATTGCAGACACACCTTGAACTCGGTATTTGTCTTTCAGCTGTACCCCCACAGCGGCCCCCGATCCTCCGACCGACTTTTGTGCCTCATGTCCTGCAGAGATCTGGTAAGTTCTGTTTTGTTTCACTCATTTCACTCATGCAGGGGCACGACATTATGCGTTTAGTCAACCCGAGGTCTTTGTTAAAGTGTCTGCTTTTCATGCCAAAGGTTTCATGTCCAGTCTCTAGCATCTCTAGTTGGTTTTTTAAAAAACTTTTTGGCAATATGGCTGGCAAATCTTTCTTCCTGAACTCCGCAGAGAGCTGCTGCCAGTGCTCCCTCTAAGCTGCGGAGTCTTGTGAGCAAAAATTCTACTTTGTGAGTTACTGGCATTAAAGTTGTGAGCCAGCAATTTGTCTACTGCAGAAATTAGTTTGCGCTGGAGCCCTCCTTCCTGAGCTGAGACAAAAATGTGTGAGACGAAGGCTAAAAAACTCAGCTTAGAAGGAACAAGGGCTGCTGCCAGGCAGAATTAGGCTAGACAGGCCCACAAGTCTTCTGAAGGATGCGTTTCTGGAACATCCCACCATTCGGTCCCACTTGCTTTTTCTCTCTTCCCGGCAAGTGTGAGCACCAGTGCTTAAATGCATAAAAGGCTACTTTCTTTCTGACTGGGAAGCTTTTTAAATCTAATTTCTTACCTGTCCTAGCCCAAGGGCAGCACCATAAGTAGCATTTATGTAAAGATTTTATTTAGCCAAGGGGGTCTCAAAGATATTGTCATCCTGATGACCGTCCTTTAAGGTAGGTCTGCACTGCAGGCAGTGGAGCGGGGTGGGCTTCAGATTGGGCGGCTTTCCTGAAGCTAGTCAGCGTTCACCACAAAGATCTCATTCAAGCTAGGCACTCTTTGATTCTCGGCCAAATCTCATAGCTGCTTTGCAGAAAATCGACCCAGCAAGACATGTCCACTGAAATACTTGGGGGTTTTTTTTAGAAGAATTTATTTAAAAAATACAAAAAGCAATATTACATTCAGCACTGCTGCAAGTATGATGAACTTATGTGCATTGTTAGGAAGACATTTAAAAAATAAAATCTGGGTATGGCCAGTCCTAACCAGTTTGGTGTAGTGGTTAAGTGTGTGGACTCTAATCTGGGAGAACCAGGTTTGATTCCCCACTCCTCCACTTGCACCTGGCTGGATGACCTTGGGCAAGCCATAGTTCTGTCAGA